AACTTGCTCTGTTATTTACAAAGCAGCTATGAAGGCCTTCAGATCCTTACAACTCCCCTCGTGCTCTCCAAGCTGTTATTTTATGTAACTGTGGAATTTGGTGTTCAACTTAAGGAGTTTCAGTACTCTTTTTGTGGGCATTGAGGTTTTTAATGTGAAATTGGTTCTCTTTTTGCTACTGTTCAGGGCTACTGTCTTTTCATCAGAAAAGTTTCATTCTGCTCAGATATACTGTCAGCAATGAAAAGTCACATCCAGGATTTATAGACAGCTAAGACTAATGAAAATAGCTGTCTCCAAGCTCCTGCTTAAGGAGTATATTTAGACAAGGCAATATTATGACTACAGCTTTGGAAAAGGAAAGATGCATTTCTTTAAAACTGCTTTCATTCCCTAAAGATCTTCAGAATGTTTACATAATTCTTGAGGCTATTATGAAACCATTTCCCCATCTGATGTATTGAATCACAGAACTCTTTAGCTTGGGAAAGACYTCCAAGATCAAATCCAACCATTAACCCAGCACTGCCCAAGTGACCACATCTACATGTCTTTTAAATAYCTCCAGGGTTGATGACTCCACCACTGCCTTGGACAGCCTGAACAACTCTTTTARTGACGAAATTTTCTTCTAACATGCAATCTAAACCTCCCCTGCTATAGCTTCCATCTAGGACAAGAYAATATATTTAACAACACATCCAAATGCCACGTAATAGCATAAGACAAAACATGGGTGACTATAAAGCAACACAACAGGTGGAGATTTATCCTTGTTGTTACTTCTATGAGGTGGCACCTTCAGAAGGTGTAGACAGTTAAATGGAATGTTGATTTTAAAACCTCATTTGTCTCAGCAGGACTCCAGAATAACTCTTAAAACAGGCTACAGCATTATTTTGGACTTAGATACTTAAAATAACTGGGATCTTTGTGCTTAATTTTTTGTTTATTACATATCTCAGTCTATTTTCCCTTTTCCTGAGCAGGATGTAATTGAAGGAGAAGGAAGTATCCTTGCTGGAGGTAATCTTTCCCTGATTCCCACAATGGATGATTCCCACTAGRCAATCACCTCCCTTTATGAAAGTTAATGAGAATACAAGGCAGGACCCAACACAGACTGTAGGAATGGATTGACCCAGGAGGACAGTGGAAAGCATCCCAGTGCCTTCAGACTGCATTTGCCAAAATTCCTGTGACATACAAAGCCATGCTAAAATCCAAATTACCTTCATAAAACCGGATCTTGTCCCTTAGGATCACCATGCCTTTTGTGAGCAGCTGATTCTGTAAAAAATACAGACTACCTTTACTCAATCCTTTAYTTCCCTACAGCCATCATATTTCACATTTTTCTCATTCTTAACTCTAGACACTGAAGGTGGTCTTTCATTTTAAAAACTAATCATCAAAGGACTCTTGCTGTGTCCATCTATTTAARTCACATGGGACACTTGTGAAATTATGCTGTAATCACCTGCTGGTTTTAGGATAAAGCATGTATTTTGTGCAATACCAAGTACTTCTCAAACTTCAAATGAGTGACCTACAAAACATGTACTCAGAGAAGCAGGAATAATATTGCTTCAACAAACAGTGTACTTATTTTCTGAAGTCAATCCTAGTAACTTTACTACAATGAACTTCACTGGTTTACTCAAGGACTTCAATTTTGAGTTAAAAAAAAAAGTCTGAAATCTCATGAAAGACAGCAATGTCTTACAGAAGCAAAGTSACAGCTTGGGCTTTCACCATCTAACTATATAGATGTACATAAAACTCAAATCTCATTAATCCATGATTTCAAAACCCTGGAGGAGTCAGTGGACATCTCTGAATAATTTCAAGGGTCATCCAGGCCATCATTTGGAGTGGGCAAAATTATTTTTCTCAGTAGCACATAACAAAATTGGATTTAAATAAAGAAAACACAGGCCTACCTGCAGATACTCAGTGAAAAAGGATCCTAATTCTGTTTTCAGTAATTGCCTGTATCAAAAAGAGCAAGAAAAGAATCTGTGTAATCAGCAAATCACATTAGCTGTGCACTGCATGGAAGTCACTAATAGCAAATTACTTTAGTATGAGCACACAGACTGTCAATGACTGAATAAAGAGAGCAAAGAGGGTCAACAAAACCAAGACTGTGTGTTGAAAAACATCAGCTGTCATTTCAGATGTCTCAATTGTACAAAAAAAAATAAGATTTGATGAAAAGAGGATTYCTTCCATCCTACATCCACTCAGGAAACTCAAGACAGCTGAAGTTTCAATGAAAAAGTAGGCAGGAATTTAACAGTTTAGCTCTGCCTTTCATGATTCCTCTACACTAAAACCTATAAAGCAATCTCAGAGAGCAACTGAAACTCCCATGCAAAACAAAATCCCACAAACAACTCCCAAATTCAGAAACTGAATTCAACGTAGTCAATAAGCCTGTTTGTAACCAGGTAAAACTCCCTACATGGCCAAAATGCAATGTTATTTAAATCTGACATGCTGGATGCTAGATAATACTTTTCTTCAGTCAGGTCACTATTTAGGTGCATAAATGACAGCCTGGACCTTATAGAAATGCAGCCCCAGCTGGGGTGATTTTTTCTAGATCACAAGTGATGACACTGAAAGTTCATCTTACTTTGAACGTGGATAGACAAACCATTTTTAGGTTGAACTAACAAGAAAGCTGCAGGTTTGAATTTTCCTATGGGAGTGAAAATTTATTTTCATGTATCTCTTCATGCCACTGTTTCAAAAAAATACTTGTACTTTCTGCTGACAGATTTTGTTTAATTCTCTACCCTTTCCTCAAGCTAGCAGCTCCAGATGTATTCCTCATAAATATATTCTCTTTTAATATTTTAGGTTCTACTGATAAACTCTGGTATTTAGGGCAGGAAATAAAAAAGTAGGTTCTACTTATCCAATAGCCAGCTCTCTGACAAAAGATGATCCCACCACATTTCCATCATGGTAGAATCCAAGTAAAAACCTGACTAAACCTGAAAGGGATCCCTGACCAGACAGCAGATCTTATTTCAAGTACATCTGATTTTTAAGGCAGATGTTTTGCACTCATGAAGCTTCTCTGGATGCAGAGATCCACTCACAGCCCATTACTATCCTGTAACTGTTCAAAAGATAACTAACTAATATTAACAATTTACCTAAACACTCCCACACTTGAATTCTGCCCTGGGGAAACAATGTGATTTTTTWAAATTTTGTACTCATGGGAAAATGTGTCTAAAACAATCTTAAGGCAAGTATACAATTGTTCCACTTCTGAGGTCATGTTTTATGAATCAGGTATTTTTAACTCAATAACAACATTAACCCAAAGAAAGTTATTTTGAAATAAATTTTAAAAGCAGTAAGAAAGGTATTTTTGTTTCAAATCAGTAATTTCATCATCAGCTCAGGCAGGAGGCACAAGGCCTTCTCCMTGAAATGAGCTATCAGCTGAGATAYCAACAAAGCAGCATTATCCCCACCAGAACAAAAAGGAACAGGCCAATTGTGTGGCATCAAATCCATTAATAAAGTGGAAAAACAAAAATCAGTGTATTTCTAGTCAGCTTGACTATTCAGCCACRTGGGATGTTGCAATAAATTTAACTCAACGATGTTACCAGGCATCGTGGAGGTGCAGAGTTTACACCAGGTAAATTAAAGCAAAATTTGGACACATTCCTACCTATATGTTGGTTCATACAAGATTATATTTGTCTGTCACATTAGCAGAATTTTTTTCCTCTCCTATCCCTTAGCAGCAGATGAGCATATTAAGGGAAATCTGTCAGGCCAAGAAAACTCAGCCCAGAAGTAGCATTTTTTGCCATTCAGATAAAGGCTGAAAAATCCTAACAGCACTTACAATAATAATGATTAATCATTATTCCAGTAACTAACAGAACATGATTGATGGATCATGCTAAGTGACAGACATCCTAGAAAAGCTATTCTTTGTATGTCATTTTCTCCTCAGAGAAGTAAGAAATAATTCAAGAGTAAGCTTCTTTTTCATTCCAAAGAGCAAACACAGGCCCAGTGTCTTCTGGCTGGACTTTTCTGAAGGTATTTTCACAATTAAAGGAACCAGACTGGGCCAACTATCCCAGCCTGGGACAGATAAACCCCAAATATCTGGACATTCTKGGGATTTTGTCAGACTCCAGACACAGAGACAATGAGCAGTGAGGGAATGTAATAAGCTGTCTTTTTTAAGTGCAGATTCTTTTCCACCACATATTTTATAAAGCACTGAACCAATTTCTAAAAGGAAATCTGCTACCCTGTTGTCACCAGTGTGAGAGTTTGGTAAGCAATAACAACTGCTGAAAAAGCAGTAAAATGTGAAATGCTGTAAATYCACATCAGCTTTTATCTTGGCAAATTTTCTTTTCAACTGCAACTTAAATAAATCAAATGGTATGATTTTCACCTTTTTTTTAAGGAAAGAAATTTTCCATTATATGGCCTACAGTTACTCTGTACCYGGCCTACAGTTACTCTGTTTCAGACAGTATCATCACAATAGAGGTAAGAAATTGGAAACATAAAGAGTGTTATTCACAGCGTGGTGTTAACAGGACAGTTTTGCAACTTCACATACATTCACGTTGTGTAGAAGCAGTAAATTTAAGGCATCAAACAGGCAGAGCATCTTTCTTTGCCATGTCCCACTCAATGCTTGGAGGCTTTACCTCCTCCACAGGTAAAGGGAAGCACCTGAGAGTGGCACCTCTGGAAATGGCAGTATCACTACAGTGCAATAGGGCTGAATCACTAGAAGGGTCTAGGTTTTCCCTTCCTTAGTTTTAAACCAGCACATCAAAACAGACTGAAATAAACTCTCCATTCAGGGATGAATTCCTTCTGCAGAAGGAGGGATTAGCTCCTGCCCACAGTGAGGTGCTGACACACATCAGCAACAGCGATTACAGAAGCAAAATGGACTCAGTTGGTCCAAACTGGGACTGGGAGAAAAACCTTAATGCTCTCTAGAAGCTCTAAAGCACAAGGGCTGCAAACAGTACTGAGCATTTGGCTGAGAACACCTCCCATGGCTGAATCTCTTACCTGACTCCTTCATTGAGGTTGTAAAGTTCATGGTCTGGGAGACCCTTACGCTGGAACACTGCTATCACTCCATTGTGGATACTGCAAGAGGACATGAGGAGTCATTAGCACCTAAAAAGATTTTGAGAAGGGTATCACCGCCACGATTAGCCTAGCATTTCTGTCTAGATACTTCAGGACTTTTCAAAAATCATAGATGATTTCTGGTACTCCACCCATCCCAGATACCTTAAAGGGAAKCACTGCCCAGAAAATTGGTAACATCTTAGAAAATCAGATCTTTAAGGTTTGTTCCAACTCAGTAACTTCAACAGCTGCACATCTGAAGTCACTAATTTCAAAAACTTGGGCCTATGTTTTTAAGTACTTTTAGTATGTCAACTATAACTTTTAATAATCCACATATTAAGTATATTTGAAGTATTCAGAAGTACAGTTTTTATCTCTACRGCTCACTGCAGAGACAATTAACAGTTTCCACTGCACTGGAGTCTGTGCAAGGGAGCAACAATCTGCTTTGGAGCTTTGGAAAGCAGGAGCAGGACCAGATTTGCTCATCCTGAAGGTTCAAGAGTGTGGGGTTGCTGTGTCGAGTGAAGAAGAGCCAAAGGTAGTTGGTATCTGTTCATAAGGTCCTCAGGGGAAGAAGCTTGATTTCTACTGGGGGAAGAGCTTATCATAGAATCACAGGATGTCCTGGGTTGGAAAGGACCTAAAGATCATCCAGTTCCACCCCCTGCCATGGGCAGGGACACCTTCCATTAGAGCAGGGTGCTCTAAGATCCATCCAACCTCGCCTTGAACATTTCCAGGGTTGGAGCAGCCACAGCTTCTCTGGGCACCCTGTGCCAGGACCTCACCACTCACCACCCTCACATGGAGGAATTTCTTCCTAATATCCAATCTAACCCTACTCTCTTTGTCAGTTTGAAGCCATTCCCCCTCGTCCTGTCACTACAKGTCCATGTAGAAAGGCTCTCTCTTTCTTTCTTCCAGGCTGCCTTCAGGTGCTGGAAGATACGGTCAGCTCTGGGCTGATCAGAAAAGCTCAGCCACCTTCATCTAATGAAAAAGAAAACTAAAAGTGGCATATGAAGGGTCTGATCTGGTGTGGAGAAATATGCAGACAGAAAAAAGAACCATTATCCTCTTCTCTCTTTTGTTCCTTTGAAGATGTTTCCCTCAAGYATTACACAGTACTGCTGCCACAGCAGTCTCTCTTTCCTCCCTACACCCACAAGCACAGACAGACATTCACGATCTAACCCAGAYTATTTTGGCTGGTTCATAGAGACACACTCAATTTATGATTATTTGAAAATTGGCAGATAAATGTCCCTGGTATACAGTGAAGTGACTTGGATATTTTAATATTATGAGTAATAATGGGAAGTAAGATTAATGTAGTGAATAAAACAAGCAGTCTTTACATGCTCTTCTGATTCAGAAATGAACTTTGCAATTTACCTGCCAGCCTTCTGCAGAGAAGAATGACTAAATATCTCTCCTAAAAGGCAACATGCTCTGTCTCTCTTTCTCCCTGGCACCCCTTTCTACATGACAGAGAGGTTTTCTCTCCAGCTTAACAGGTCCATTATTATTCCTCCAAGAAATAAGAGAGAGCAAGCTTTTTTCAGCAGAATTAAGAGGGACAGGTTGTGAGCATTCAAGTTATTGTCCATTTAGAACATCACTTACATAAAACATCCTAGCAGTGAACTTATAATCTACATTAGATCTCCCTTGTAGTGAGATCTAACGTTGGTGGCCTCGGTGTCAGGATAATAAAAAGTTGGCTTAAATCTTCTTAGCTACCTCAAGATAACGAAAAAACCCCAGCCCTTGCTTAAATCAATGTGTTTCTATAACAAGTGATTGTTYAAAAAGATTTTGTCAGAATGGTTCAACCTTTTGGTGTAAAGAAAATCTGAGCTGCTGCTTACACACAGAAGCTCTGCAAGATGCTTGAGGTGCAACCAGCTTTCATTGAGGTCTAAGTCAGTAATTATACGTAATTAAACTTACATTGCAGTAGTTAACCTGAACTGAAAATGCTTTGTAAACTCCCTTCTGTAACTCTTGTACAACATGAATGCTGATAATGGGAGCACTCATGCACTAATATATTACTGTGAACACCTTCCCTGCAGTTGCTTTGTGTGTAAATGTGTGCACAGGAATACAGCACTGCAAGAAATAAAAAAAAAAGAGCCAAATAGAGCCCAAAAAACTCAACAGAGTGGGCTCACTGGAGGAGGRGAAATCAGTATAAGAAAACCAAAGAGACCAGGGTTTTTGAAAGGTGTCCTAGGGCAGCTGAGTATTCCCATCCTCTGCTTACGTTAGAGAAAAGATAAACAACCCTTTTGAACTATATATTAGTTGAGATTACTCTGGTTTGCTTTGTTGTGCTCCTCCCTCCAAGGACAGTGGTGGGGGACGAGGTACAAGCCACACACATTCCAGGACCAGTGATAACAGTTCAGAGGCAGGAAGGAAGCTGCCTGTTCTCCGGGACTGCTTCTTTTCATCTTCTTTGGATTTGATTTTTTCAACGATGATTTTTCTCATCCAAGAATCAGAAGATTCAGGAATCAGAGAAATCAGAATTCAGAATCAGAGAAATCAGAAGATTTCYCATCTGAGAATCAGGCGACAGGAGAGAAAAATCCTCCAGTGAACCACGGGAGCAACTCCATCCAACCCTCTGGGAGCCCCTGGAGGGGGAAGGCCACTCCAAGAGGAAAGAAAAGACTTTAAGATCCAACAGCTGTTTGCACAGGTTTTTTTCTTGWTTTGGTTTTTTCAAATGTAATTTCTTTTCTGCCTCTTGTTTGTGCCTTGTGGGCATATTATTTTGTTTTGTTAAATAAATAGGGTTTTTTTTTTTCCTTTTTCTTTTCACTTTCCTCTCTGTGGGAAGTATTTGTTTCCAGGACCCAGTTGGGGAAGGAAGAGGGTTTGCTGCAACTTGCAAATGCTCACCCACCCATTAAAAGGGTTGCCTTTAGGATGACAACAAAATGTCAGATGGCTCCAGCAATGCATTGTACTTATCTATCCCTCGGTAGCTACAGATTGCCAAAGGAAAACTATCAACAACCAAGGCAGCACTCACAGCCACAAAAATCAACTCAGCAGCCTAAGAAACTTCACCTCTTTCAAAAGACAACTCATTCTACATTTGACTGAACCTCCAGAGGAGGAGGCAGCTCCAGCTGTCCAAAACATGGGAATGGCAGCTCCAGCACACACAGCACAGATCATCCCCAGCATCAGCTTCAGCATGAAGGGATGTGGAAGGTGCAAATCCCTCGAGCACAGAGCTGGATGCTTGCTGACAGCACTCCAACAGAGCCAGGGTCAAGGTGGGCACAGTGGGAGGGGTTATTCTGAATTTTTGCATATTATCAATCTACTACAGGCCTATAGAGATCAATACCACCAAAATAGACACTTCTCCTGAGCACCTATTTGTCCATCCAGACACCACTGGGAGCCTGCCTCCCTCCAGTACCATCCATAATTATTCCTTTACTGACATTTGGAAGCCARGAGGAAAAAATATTGGAATTAAACCAATTTTCTGCAAGGTCAGAATCAGTTTGGCCACAAAGATGAGGCACAACTGCAAAGCTAGGTTTGCAAGTCTCTTAAGCCCTGACCTTCTGTGTGTTTTGACCATGGCCGTGGCCCTCCCAGCTCAGCTTTTCCTGGCAAAGCAGCTGGACTGGCCAATGTCGACATTCTGAAAACGTCACACAGATAATTCATTCTCTAAAGCAGTCACTGGCTTTGTGTGCAAACAGCATAGGTGAAAATATCACAGTGATTTTTTTTTTTTATCCAGTGTTCGCAAATTCTGCCCTTCCTAGAACTCCAGGTGAAGTCCACATGAAAAAATAATGCTGTGTGAATAATCACACCCTGTGACTACCAGGCAGTTAAAGATAACATTTTCATTTTCAAAAGGGACTAAATTAGTTAGGGCAAATTTCCTCTGCACAGTTACATGAGCAGCTAATTAACAATAATTAGCCTGATATACTGGCATCAAAACCTTCTKGAAGACACGGCTGCTCCAGAGTAAAACAACATTTTTCTGAATTAGCTTAACCCAATTGGGAAGAGCCCATTTTCAGCACAGCTTCAGTCCAGCTGTAACTCTACTAGTTTTCCTTGAGGAAATGGAAAACTGACCCTTCCAAAATAAGCCTGTTTCCTGGAATATCTACTCAAGGAAAGGCAACGTGCAAAGACGGACAGGCTGCAACTAATCACTTGATCATAAAAGTGAAAATAAGATGGTCTGCAAAACTCCCTCCTCAAAGAGTTTGGGAGGAATTAATCCACTCACTTCACCAACCATATCCACTGTTCTGARACACCAAGAAATTGAGACAGACAGGTAAAGGGACTTCCCAGAGGTGTTACTAAGAGTTAATATCTGGCTTTCTGTGTTCAAGGAAGTGTAAGTTATTCTGGAGGGCTACAGGGAGCAGCAATTCTCCRCTACCACCAGTTCAGAGCTCAAAAATGCTCCATGGAGCAGTGGTGGCTGGGCCAGTGGGAAGTCTCCTTCACCAGCCTKGTCCTCCTTTCCACCCCACAGTGAGACTTTGTTTGGTCCCCATGCACACAGAGTACCCAGCACTCCAAAGAGGGCTTCAAATAAAGGGTCAGAGAAAACAGGGTGATCCTCAGACAAAATATTTCTAAATAAACACTAAATAACAGAAGAAAGAAAATTTCAAAGTAGGAGTCAGAAAAATATGCTGGTCTGGAATATGTTCTCCATTGGAAAAGCCTTCCTGWGATCCGAAAAAACATTCATTTTGATGAAATAGATGAAATATGGGTTTTTTATGAAAAAGATTAAATATAGTTTTCATTACTGTAAAAGTATTTTCACAGCAAGTTGTGTGCTTATTACAACCCTGTAAAAATTAGCTCAGGCCATCTTTCTGATTCCATATGTCTCCTTGGATTTACTGCTGATTTCACTAATGTCACAAGCAACTTACCTGCTTTCTTCACCTCTTTGCTATCTCCTACTTGGTCATGCCTCTGTGAATTTTCCATATTTTCTTACACTAAAGAGGATCTAAAAACCTTTGACTGGAGGTTTTTCCAGAGCACAACTCAGACAGTATCAGCTCCTGATTASGCAGACTGTGCTAGCTCAATCAGAATGAAAACCTCACCACAYGGATTTTATTTGGCCTGAGTGGGCCCCCCAGCTTGTGAGCTCAAGATTAAAACCCCTGGGTTTCTCAGTCCAATTGGTTTAATCAGCATTCAGCCCTCAGTTTTTGCCTGAAGCAGAAAGCGGGAAGAGGGAAGAAAAAGGACTGAAGACAATGCTAGTGAAAAAATCTAAACTATTTTAATCCAATGCAAATTCTGTGAGCTAGGATGAARTGTATTGTTCCGCTATGTTGCTGTTGGTTGCTAGTTAACTGCACTGACAAGTGTTTTGCTGCACAGATCTGGGGGTTCATGGGAAAGCAAGCTCTGAAAAAGCCTTGATATGAAGTCTCATTTGCTTAATAGCACACAGCAGCTTGGCACAAATTTCCCTTTGATGTAACAGTGCTGAGAAGTTTCACTGCATTCTACTTCAGAGGTGAAGGGAAGTCATCAGGGAGGAAGTTACTTCCGTGCTATTCCACAGGGTACGTTCCCCCTGTATGCTGAATTAGGTGTCAAAATGCAAAAGGAATTCTCAGGTATGAACAGTCTGAGCTGAGACTGGTGTGAAGGGGGCAGAGGGGACAAGAAGGGATATCACTGGACAACAGCAGCCACACACAGGGCAAATGCAGAAAGGCAGCCATGCACCTTCCACCTCCGAAAACGCCCACAGTGACAGCACTGCTGTCCTGCAGAAGACCCCATGAGCAGCACTTTGGCTTTTCAGTGCCTGGCATGGTCAGGGCAGCATCCTTGCTCTGCCTCAAAGGTCTGCCTTTCTGCTTTTCAGCCAGTTTGTGTGGAGCTGAACCTGCCATGGGCTGTGCTTCAGCTCTCCCCACCTCAGTTCTCATGAACCTGACTCAAAGCTTATTTGAAAAGCAGAGACACAMACACCACACCCAGAAACAGCTGCTAACATTAGGCAAGAAAACAGCAGACATTTAAATGTAGAATAGCCAGGTTTGGTGAGAGGGGAGAGCTCGGCCGGTGCATCTTGACTTCCTTGATTGGCAAGCTCTTACCCTTACACAAAATGAAAAAACACAAGCAATCCTTTCATGTGGAAGGAAAATTATTCCTGCAAACCAAAGTAAGCAAAGTGTCCTATGTTAAGTTGTTTCAATTTTGCATYAATCAAAAAAAGAAAATAAATTCCACAGTCCAAGAGTTTAAAAAACTCTACAAGATTTCTGGTAAGTCAAACTTTAGATGTCCAGTGACATTACAGTCTCCCCAGGAGAGAGATGAACACAGGTTCCCTCAAGATGGGCATGTACTGGTGATAGGCAGAAGCTACAGTGGATAATTTCTTAATCCATCTAATTCAATATAATTTAAACCCAGTYCTTCCTGAGGATAAACCCCAGTTTTACAGCCTGCAGAATATATGAGTTTCTTAAAACCCAACAGATGACAGAAGTCTTTCTGAACCTGAAGGAATTACCTTCACTCTCTTTCACTCAGAAGAATGCCTTGCACTGTTAAATAAGAAATAAAAGGCTTTCCCTTTGGCCATGCAGTGCAGCCTTTCAGAGTTGCAATAGCAGCTCATATCTGCAATACCAGCCATACTCTAGGCAGCTCTTAGCACAGGAACAAAATGCCCACTTCACTTGCATCTGTACAACAACCCCACCAATGCTTCCAGGTGTTACCMTAGCACGTGCCACCAAAGAGGATTTCCACCATAAGCCTGGAAATCCATGCACTGGGAAAAGGCAACCCAGGGGTGGAAAGCATGGTTAGGTCTGAGGTCATGCAAAGCAGTGACAGAACAACTCATGGACACCTATTCAAGGAACAGGCAAAGGGACAGTTGTGTAATTGTTTGGATGAAACATGCAGATTTCCAGTTCATTGACTGGCAAATACTTCTGTCCAGAGCTGTACCTCTCCTATTCAAATTAAAAGTAACAAACTCTTGCTTCATCTCCATTAGGAAATMCTTTAGTTTGAATATCAGCAGACCCAAGACTGGAACTCTGCCTCACAGCAAGCCACTTACTTGATCTGCTCTCCATTCACATCTGCCTTCAGAACTCCCTCACCACAGGCAACATCTGGAAAAGCCAACAAAAAGCTATCTGCACACCATCACAAGAAGGCTCTGGGACTGTATTCTGTCACCTTGATTCACACCCAGAACTCTCTTACTCCTTGCTACCCTTACTGGCCAAATAAAGTCCCAATTGGCACAATTGAAAGTGGCCCAATCTATCCTTGACCCACCACTACCATCCATGCACACATCAAGTACAAATCAGGGTCATACAAACACTGTATTTCAGCAGCAACTCAGTCTCTTTTGTGATTAGCATGGTTTCAGAGTTTAAAGCACTGCTGGCTTTCAACAACTCCTACTATACACATGAAACCTCAAATCAAGTGGTGAGAAGGACAGAAGATGTGATATTTTATATATATTAAGTGTCTCAGAACTTTAGCAAATACATCTGTAGTTCACTGGAATTTTTCTTCCTACAGTTGTACCGCCATACAATTATRAAATACTACATAAAATTACACTTTGCAGGCTGTGATCCAAGTGAAAACATTTAGTTTTCAAAAATKACTTAAGAATTTAATATCCAACAATTTAGAGACTCAGATTAATCTTTTAAGATTGTCAACAGAATGGACATTAAGATGCTTTCTGAATAGCTGAGCTAATTGACACATTCACACAAACAAAATGTTTGCATAGGTTTTCTTGTAAAACAGCCATAGAATTCAAATATATAAACACAAAAAAGAAAACAATCAGGGCTTATTTCCCTGTCCAAAGTGCAGAGGCTTGCATGTGTACACACACATGTGCACAGATCTTTTGTACTAACATRAGTAAACTTAGTAGACTTTGTCATAACTATATTAACCAGCAACAGCYATAGATATGCAGATTAAAAGAATATATTTTAATAGTTGTGCATATGTAATTTTTTTAACAATAACCTAAGCCAAACAAACTTTAAATGAGAACGTCTGGATAGACACGAAGATATATTTGTAGTTGGACTCAGTGAAACAAGTTGCTGAAGGGAACTGAAGGGAAGGCAGAGAATGCTCTTYGTTATCAGCCTTCAGAGAAAGATTAAGAGCAAGGGGGAAAAAGCCACTCCTGTGTTTAGGAGCTCCGGTGCGTGTACCCCGGGCAGAACAGGCTGCAGCCCGCGGAGCAGTGCAGGAGCCCGTGTCCCAGTGCAGGAGCAGGCGAGGCTGCCAAAAGCCAGCACACTGCGTGACCTTACCTGTTCCAGGTAGCGTTGGAGCAGGCCCGGTGCTGCTGAGTCCCCCGCTCATCCAAGGCTGCCTGCTCTCTCTTGCCCAGATCACTGAGGCTGGGCGAACTCATGAACTTCAACCTGCGAAGAGTCCTCATGGTCAAATGTGTGTTTGTGCGTGGCAGCTACAGATACACCATCCTGTTTACACACATACACGCGCAGCTGGAGCAGCGGCAGCAGCAGCAGTGCGAGCAGTTCCCTCCGTTTGCTGTTCAAAAAAGAAACTTAAAAAAAAAAGAAGAGAGAACCAGTCTCTACAGAGCACACCTCTGCCAGCAAGAAAACAAACCTTTAATCAGATCAACTCTGACGTCATCAACCGTGGTTAATAATTTCTCCAGTCCTTTCAAAAAATAAGTCAAACTTCTGGCTGCTGCTACAGCACGTTGAAGGGGCCCTTTGTAACCTCAGCTGCCCCAAGTGTGAGGGTTTCCTCTCCCTGTGTCCCCAGGCACCATGTCCCAGGAATCGTGCTCAGCATTGCAGTGCTCCACCTGTCATGGGAACTGCTTGGTCCTCCAGCAGCTTGGGGGGAGCTCTCACAGCATTTCCCAACTTCTCCTCCCACTTTCTGCACTCATAAAGGGAAATGAAACTGGAGGGCAACAGACAGGAAAAAAAAAAAAACAAAACCAGAAACCGAAGTAACCAATACTGACACTGAGATTTTATTGCAAAGTTTCATAACTGCCTGATCCTTGCCATGTTACGACATTGAACACATACGCTCTCACTCACACATCCACATCCATGCCCTCAGAGGCTSCTCTGGCTCAAAGTCTCACACAAAGGATTCGCAAGAAACATAACTGCAGAATGAGAAGTGCTGCTCTGGAGTTCAGCACTTTGAGGAATTTTTGGTGGYGCATAGAAGAGCCAGATGCTTTGCCTTTCTCTGCCTTTTACTRGTTTTGTTTTATTTTTAAATTGAGATAGCAGCTGGACAACTCGGGGCATACCTAGTTTCTACAAAAGCCCCAGGTGTCTTATCTTCAAAGGAAAAATCTTTGTCTCTCTGACTGCAGCAGCGGAGCTGAAGGATATGCTGCTACAAGACTCCACCCCATGCTTAGCTCACTGTCACTCACTTGCAGTTCTGTTTTAAATCCGGGAATGCCTGGCTGATCTTCTGGTATAGTTTGCAACAGAAWGAGCCAGAGCGTAAGAACTGCTCTTCTGTTGCTACGGCATTGGTCTACAAATAGTCTGGTAAAAGCCAGAAGGCTCCTTGCAGAGTAACCTCCCACTCACTGCAAAGGGGCTGCAATAGAAGAACTTCCCCTTTCTTTGTTTTTTCCTTCCTGTTTTCTACTTACTCTTTCCAYCTGTGATAGCCCATTGTCTAGATTCAGACTACAACTGTATTYGTTGGTGTCCAAATAACATGGCAAAGTTTACATTACAGAAGAACTCAATTTTTCCAGAGAGCTCTGCYCTATATGCATCATATACTGACAGATTTTAGTAAAAAACAATTCCTCTCACTATTCAACTGAGGCCAAAGATTACTGCATATAAAYATTTACTTCCAAAATTTATATTTGGTGTTACCTCCATGGGAATCAACTGCAGAACTACTTAGAGAAWTAAATATATTTACTTTGTGTAATTTCATTTTCCACCTAGCTCACTTGCTTCTGCTTCCCACTTTCTGTGAATTTGACARGTTTTGCAAAATGTTATTATACTGGATTAAACCCTCGGATTTTTTAACTCTTTGATCCCTCAGCAGCCATGAAGACTTTACAAACTGTATATTGACAATGCCAGTATATCACCAYCTACATGTTTCATCTTCTTTTTTTMCCTAATATGCTTAATTATTTAATWGACTAAACCCAAGGAGCTGCTGCRGCAACTTTAGATACACCAGACAACTCTGCAAAAAACAGCTCTTTGCTTCCTCATAAAATGCCAAATTCYRAAAGAAGAGGAAAGAAAAGGATCTCTTCCATCTGTATGGTGAAATACTACACCAGTAGAAGTCACTATTTATATGTCACCCCATCAATCTCACTAACCAGTATTAGATTCAGAATCAACGCATGCACCAAAAACATGGGTGAGCCAGCATTCCAATCTCCTGAAAAATTTGYAACAGAAGCCAGGCTTTCTCTGCACTTCATTCTCCTTCCTGTGATTACACCTGATCAAATGTTGATTTATGACTAACTAATTTTCAACAAGGGCTACCTCCACCCATAATTGCAGAGTAATATTTCACACTTACACCATGCTGTGTGTCCACAGACATGCCTGACTTCATGTCATTCATTAACTCAGCCTGAGCAGCTCTTGGGTATAAAGGGAAAAAATGAAATCTGCACTTCAGCATTAAGAGGGAAGAAGACAGAGGTGGTGTGACACCGGAGTTGTAGGGGAATTTCTGTTGACCTGGACTTCTATCTCAAGGCCTAAATAKATAGGCAGATAAACACAGGCTGGAAGTTGAAGAGTACTTATGCTTTTACTAGAAAAACATGTTAACGTACAGATCCAAGATCTTGTATCAAACACAGCTTTTTAAACCACAAGGCTATCCCACAGTTACCTCCTGATAATGGCAGTGATRTCTGCAACACTCTTGCTGGGACCTGTGGTTTAAAGACAGTATTGTTGTCCCCAGAAAACATTAGAAAAAAAAAATCCATGCAGTCATCCTCAAGGATATACTTGGTTTCAAAAGAATAATTGCTGAGGAAAAAAAKAAAGAAAGAACCTCACATTTTATTTATCTAATGCTATTTTAATTTTTACAGTATAATTGTCTTGTCTCCTTGCAAGTTTCCTTTTGACCACGATGAGAGAGAAAAAGAAGCAAAAAGTAATGTTCATGATGGGGAACATAAATAAATTCACAATATACGAAATTCATAATAAAGCTGTGACTGTTATGGGTCAACATGTTTTAGGCTACACCATTCTGGGACAGGTGAGCACTGCAGTAGTATCAGTACCAGAGGGAGAATATAAACAGTAAGAGAATTTATCATCTCAGCTTTATTCACATTCAAAGCTTTGTCATGAAACAAGACAACTTAATAAATAAAAATTTTAATTGGGAATAAAAAGCAGCCCACTACTTTATCTCCCTATCTCTTTTGGAGAAGAGAGTAGAATTCCTGTAATGATATTGAGTGGTGTACACTGTGCAACCAAAAATGASAATGGTAATGTGTCTCTATGGCAGGAACGATTTAAAAACCTCCCTAGACAAATGCATTTTCGTTTTCCATAAACTACACCACAAAACTTAGGGCATGCCTTGACACATGCCAAAGCTCAGGAATTAATCTTCTGACAGAACATTTCTTAAAGGCACAGCATATCCTCTCATGCTGGCAGACAAGGAGCAAGGAAGAAAGGAAGAAGATCCAACTGCAAGGAAAAAAGAAAAAGAACTGGGGGAAATTAAGTTGTAAATTAAGACTTATCAATTCCTTTGCTACAGTATCTACATAAAACTCCTTTATCATCAGAAAACAAAGAATAGAATAAAGAAAGTATGAAACCRAACTGCGTCCATTTATGCCCCTCCCCCTCCATCCCACTGACGTGCTGCAACCTCTGGAGATAAAGGCGTTCTCAAAGACGCTGGTTTTTTTTATTGAGGTTAATCCTAGGACAGCCTTGGTTTTGCTTTACCTCATTTCTGCCCTCACCAAGCTGAGCACTGATTTTTGAGAGATGACTAGGCCTTACTTAGACACCTTCTCAACCTTTGGAACCCCTCCTGTGTACTCCTGTATGCTCCATCCTATGCCCAACCATGCCCACATGACAACAGCCGCCTCCCTTGGGACAGAGTTGGGCTTTCTGTCCCTTCACCTCCATGTGGGACTCACACATGGCATTCACCTTTTACATTATGACAAAGAAATGATCATGACACTATCTCCTTCCGAAACAATCACACAGTGACACCAAAGAAGAGCCCTTCAACTAGGGCTGGAAAGGGATGCTCTGCCCCTGTCACCYCTTCTGCAGTAACAGTCCATCCTGCAAAGCTTCAGATGTGACCTTCAGGCAACCCACAGCTGCTGTAGTCCCACTGCCTGCCTTGCAGATACACCAGCTTCCACCAAATATGGCATCCATGTCATGGCAACCTGAAGGCAATCAGGACCCATTTCCTGGACCTTCTCTTCCAGAAGTGTGAGGCAGAGCAACATGAGATTTTCTCAGCAGAGATCTGCATCTGAGCAAAGAACCACCCAGACTGCAGTGACCATGTAACTCTAGTTTCTTTACACAGTCTGCTGATGAATGACATTCATTCCCTGTATACTGAGTTCCTCAGCCTCCCCACCTTGCTCTCTTCCTSATCCTCCTTCACCCTTTGCTTTTGTATTCCCTTTGTTTTTTGTCTTTCTTGGCYAGCTAATTCTTCCTCAGGCAGTTTTCAAATATAAAGAGAAAGAAAAATACTTARTTGGTACTAAAACATTATTTGCAAGCCAGTCTTCAGCTGGCTTTTRGGGAATCAAGGCTTCAATTTGCCTGTTTAGACTGTGAGATCTTCTTTACTCTTTTCAGTGTGGGCATTCACTTTGTCAGCCAGCAAAACAAGGCCCTGAGCTCAGATATAGACCCCAGTTCTCAGCCTAATCTAACACAAGTCATGAACTGAGCAGTACCTGCTGAAAGCATCYGTGAAATCCCACCCCCTTCATTAGCAATAGTTTTTGGTTTTACAGAGCATAGCAACACAAGCAGTTCTTAAAATACAGTAGATARCTAAATAATTTTTTCTTGTTCTTCAAGAGAAAGGCATGAGGAGAGAATTAGGATTAAAGACAGTGCAGTGGTCCAAAAAAAATGCAGTGGTTTGTGGGAGGAAMTGAGGACCAATGCTCTGGATTATAGGACCTGTGGCATTACCACATGCCCAGTGGCACATGCCCCTAGGAAAGRAGGTGGAATTCTGAGTGCCAGATTATTACTTTTGTAGTACCAGGCACTACTGTTGTCCCCTCAGTGAATTTACAACCCTCTGTAATCAGTGCATACTCCAAGGCATACTGCTCTTAAATGGAAGTCAAATCTTTTTTTTAATTTAGAAATTAAGATCTCAAGTA